GATGGGGTCTTGCTCTGTCACCCAGGCTGGAGTGCAGTGGTACGATCTTGGCTCACTGCAGCCTCCTTCTCCTGGGTTCAAGTGATCCTCATGCCTCAGTCTCCTGGGTAGCTGGGACTACAGGTGTATACCACCATGGCCGGCTAATTTTTGTATTTTTAGTAGAGCCGGGGTTTCATGATATTGGCCAGACTGATCTTGAACTCCTGAGCTCAAGTGATCCACCTGCCTCGGCCTCCCAAAGTGCTGGGATTACAGGGTTGAGCCTCCATGCCCAAGCAGTTCTAAGGAACATATTTAGAAGGTTGTTTAATACTCAGATTCTCCAAAATGAATAGTATTTTCAGAATAATAAAGACACAACCTTTAACCAAAAGATATAGGTAATAAGGTCTTGGTTTAATCTTGGGCAGCTACATATTTTTCTTTAGGCTTAAGAATGAGGCCCTACTTCTCCGTTTTACCTGGACCTTAAGAGTATCAAGCGATCTCAAGTTCCTTCTCCTGTCTCCTGCCTGGAAGTTTGGTTCATCTTTCAGGATGCTTCTGACACATTAACAAAGCTAATCATTGCTGCTGTTCTATGCATCAAAGCCTGGGCAGGGTTGGGGAGAAGGGGGAGTGGAGGAGATGCTGAGTGGTGAATGATGTGCTTAAGAACGAGCGAGACAGGCTCTCATTAGAAATTTTCTTTTTGTTTTTTTTTTTTTGAGACAGGGCTTCACTCTGTTGCCCAGACTAGATGGAGTGCTGTGGTGCAATCTTGGCTCATTGCAACCTCTACTTCCCAGGCTCAAGTGATTCTCCTGCCTCAGCCTCCCCAGTAGCTGGGATAACAGGCGCACACCACTACCATGTGGCTAATTTTTGTAGTTTGAGTAGAGACAGGTTTCAACATGTTGGCCAGGCTGGTCTCGATCTCCTGACCTTAAATGATCCACCCTCCTCGGCCTCCCAAATTGCTGGGATTACAGGTATGAGCCACTGTGCCCGGCCAGAACTCTTCATTTGGATGATATTTAACACAGAAAAGTTCTGTCTCCAAGTTTTAAAAGTGTGTAGATTTAAAAAAAAAAAGCCACTGTATTGAGGTGTGATTGGCATATAAAGAGTTGTACATACTTAATGTGTGTATCTCGATGAGTTTGGGAATAAGTATACACTTGTAAAACCATCACCACCATTAAGACCATAGACAGCCAACACGGCTCTAAGTTTCCTCCCACTTCTTTTCTTCTTATTTTTTGTGATAAGAACACTTAACATAAGATCTACCTGTTTAGTAAACTGCCCTATGCAGTACAGTAGATATCTAGAACTTACTTAT